AATCTGGCCTGTGGTCTGTACTGCCGTGGACTATTGTAAAAGGGAAGCTTTCAATGCATTCCCTTTACTTACTGAATCAAGTCTGTGTGTTTTTCCTTTCTTTCTTCTTCTCCTTTGCCTACTACTTATATTTTTTCTGTTATCATACTGCATTGAATTGATGTTATGAAAAACTGCACACTGTAACATTACATTATGTTACCATTATATCAATGTATTGCCCATGTCCTACATTTACAGCTTTCTTAATACTTGACTATAACAGAGAGAGCTGATAGACATGCCTCAATTTTTTACATAGTTATGCCTGTGCATGTTTCTCTTAAAAATAACAGATTTAACTATAACTACTTATTTGACAAATCTGGCCTGAAACTCTGCTAATAGGCACTCCGACATTCTGAAGAAATTATAATTTGTAAAATATTAGATTTCTGTTCATACTTTCCTTCTAAATAATATATCCATGTGCTGGGGAGCTACAATTATCCATTTTTACCATCTGTCATATTGTCAATGTGCATAAACAAAAATAGATTATGACAATACATTGGATCAACCTTTCTCAACCAGGGTGCCCAGGCACCCTGGGGTGCCTTGAGGTTTCTTCAGGGGTGCCTTGGCAAAATGTCTAAAAATTGCCCAAAACTTGTATACAAGCCAGCGGGTGGAACAAACCTGCCTTTTAGTTACACAAAGCCACAGGTTTTCATTGTGCACCATTACGACCTTCTAACCGCAAGAGTCCTGACAGCCAATTACATCATCAATTGATAAGGAGGATGTCAGCTGCCTGCACAGCATCCTAGTTTGACCCTCCCCTGCCCCTCTCCATCAGTGCTGGGGCCACATTAGCTGATGGAGAAAAACTGAGGGAGAAGAGAAACATTGGAATACTACTCAGTACCTCAAGACTGTCCATAATTTTAAAGAGTGCCTCAGGAATGTCCATAATTTTAAAGGGTGCCTTGACTGAAAAAAGGTTGAGAAACACTGCATTAGATAAATGGCCTATTCTCTTACTGTTAAAGAAACCCTGTGATTAGGAAAACATGTAAGTTAGTTGCCATTGCTGACTCCTTTATAATAAAATACTAGCTGTCTTTATGTCTCTGGCTACAATGTTTCATCATTCATCTGAGTATAAAGGAACAGAAGTCAGAACTTCTCATCTTGTTCAGTCATTGACTCAGTAAGTACAGATGGCACAGGATCAGCACAAAAGCCAGGCAACTAAAACTTTCAGAAGCATATGTCCATAATGACAGTCTATATTCTTCTTTGTTTCCCACATTCCTAATTACAGTACAGTATATGTACAGTATGTCAAACTATTATGTGCTATCACAATGAAGACTTCCAGTTAGTCTAGCAGAATAAACTAGAATCAATTTCTCTTCTGATTGTGATTTGAATTAGACCATTAGCTTGTCCTTGACTTTTAGCTTGCTATTACTGACCTCCTTCTATAAATGCTAGTTGGCTGGCTGATTCTGTCTTTAGTACAAAGATGGCAACCGCAGGTTTAGGCAGAGCAGCGGTTCAAGCATAAATCTGACTTTAGGTCTACTTTACCTGAACACGTCATTTTACCCACTTAATGCAAAGTATCCAGTTCTCTTGATTGCCCATCCTCTCTGCCCCCCCCCCCCCCCAGAGTGATAGTATATGCTCAAGCCTGTTGATGGAATGGAATGAAGGGTAGAGGGTCTCAAGTTCCACCATACATAGAAGTATTGGGTATTTCACAGGGCTCTGGCTTTCAGGCTGTGGAGGGAGCACTGGGAAGATGAGTATCTACAATGGATGAGGAGAGCAAATAAAACTATAAAAGCTACAATTTCTGGGGAAATTGTGTGAAGTGTTCTTGCCTCCACCAGTAGTCTACAACTCACACTCTAGCTTTTGTCACTTTGCTGCCTGCTCACACACCTGGGTTCATATGGCAACTCACTCTACAGCAAGGGCTGAGAAGAGCGGTTAAAAACAAACTACTCCAACTTGCTCACTTCACTGGCGGTTGCCATCTACAAATGATTGTAGGTTAAAAATTATAAATTCTACACTGAAGAGCTTTATATTGTGAGAATCACAAGACCCAGACCTACATTTTGATGCATATTATGTCTCTGAAATATTAAAAATAAAGGCACAGTCGCAGTTTAGAAATTGCAAATAAATGGTCATATTGTGAAAACTAATAGGACTATGGCTTAGCTGTGGACATTTTTAGTGGCAGCAGGGATAGCTGAACGTTTTGATATAAGATTTGTGTAGGTGGGCTTGCAAATGAGGGAGTGATGGCAGTTTAGAAATCATGTTCTGATTTTTCAGCTCACACTCTAGCTTTTGTCAGCTCCCACTCTAGTTTTGAACATTTCGCCATTCATTCCTATGGGACCAATTGCACCACAAAAATGCTGATATTTCGTGAACCATTCGGCGAAACGTTCCACAAAGTAATAGCACACCAATCCGGAACAACCCGCACATTTCGGTATATTACTGTCTATGTAGTGTAAAAACTGTGGGAGGAGTTAGGGTGGTAAATTTGGCTATAATAATAAGAATATGTGAGATAACAGTAAGTGGTCTTGCCATGCAAGAACACTTAATGAATGCGTAACAGAAAAATGTATGGGCAAAGTGATAGGTTTGCTTTATGGAATGGGTATCTGCTTTGATTCCAGTATCTCGAATAACAATGATGGAATGGGTATCTGCTTTGATTCCAGTATCTCAAATAACAATGTTGACTGCCTAAATTATAAGAGTAATACAATTTTTTTTAACAGAGTATGAAAAATCTATATTTAAACTAGGCAGAGTTTAGACCATCAGACTGTGCCAGCAACATTGGTCCTTCAATGGAATCTATCTGGAGTTTAATTGACTGTGTGGCTTTGTGGTCAGATATATAAAACCCTCTTAAATAAACAAAAGGATTAAGCTATCAAGGTAAAGACAAAGAGGGAGAGACAGGAAGAGAACGTAATATTTGTGCTAATCCAATATTTGTCTGCCAGTGAATGCTATACTTTGACCTTTAATCACTGTCATTACTAGGATAAGCATGACAGAATGGAAGGTTATTAGAGAGAATGTATGATAGTATCTCAACATCAGTCAAGCCAAGAAACAAAGAGCCTCCTGAGAGCAGAATCTTCAGCATAGTAGCCTGAAAGAGAGAGGGAGCACATCTTCCTCCTTGACCTTGGCTTATTCACCTAATCCATGTTACCCAACACAGCCTAATATGATTAGACCTAACTACAATTAATCATGATGAACATTAGGAAGCATACAAAAACAGTAAAGCAAACCTATAATACAGGTTTATTTACAGAAAAGAACTACTTATTAAATAAAAGCTCACAAATAATCAAATGTTCTAATACTTGTACTATAAGGAAGATCCATTATTTTTTATTTTTTGCCTTAGTAAACAACATGCTCAGTGATAATGTGAGTCCGCTACTGCCTTGAAGTTTTTTAACTGTTCTCATTGCTCATTGATTTATTATATACTTTCATATGATGGATCTGAAGGGAAGTTATGAGTGCTCTTAGGAGTGCCTGTTTTGCAGTTAGGCGTGTATAGTCATAGTAGGACTGCATGCATGTGTATAGGCTAATCTTTATAATTGATATTTTAATGCTTTGAGGGTCAATTTTAAATATATTTTTAAGTTTACAAGGCTAATCATTGATGTTTTATTGTTTTTTTTTATTCATTAATAATAGAATTTATGTATGTTACATTAAACATTTTTTACAGGTGTGCTTATGCCCTGCACTACCTCAATGCCTGGCAAACAGTTAATTCACTGTTTAAAGTGTATGTAAACCCTAACAATGAGCTTCTCTTCTGTGCTCCTTTTTGATGTGTTAAATATGCTATTGAAAGTGTTTTGTTATACAGTATCTGTTGGATAAGTGTGAAAAAAAAAAAAACTATTGATCTTGATGGAAATCCAGTGAGTATTTAAATTCTTGGACAATGCTGCACTTAAATCTCAATGCTATAGCTGCTGCCACTGATCGATCTAGAAAAACTCTATAGGGTGATTGTACAGAAGTCGATCAGTAGATCAACTTCTGTACAACCAGCCTGCCCATACATGTATTGAAATTCAGCCAGTACCTGCTGAACCAGCCAAATTTTGATCCATGTATGGCCGACTTTATACAAAGTTAGAGTTGAAAGTATGTTCTCTCTTATTTATAGTGTGAGGCTTGTGCACTACACTTTGACAATACAGTTGTTCTCTGGTGGTTAGTGGTCTGGTTGCTTGTAAAATTGGAAACTATTAGGAAGGGACAGAGTAGATAAGCTGATCTGGCGTTCCAGTGCCACACCACAGTTCCTGCCGGTTAAAAGCTCCGCTCCAGGCTCATTGGACAACAGTATGAGGATCCCCCCTGACCGCTGATCTTGTCTTCAGGTCTCCAACACAAAGACAGATGCCACATCATCCCGTTTGCCCCTGCAAATGGACTTTGGTGCAACCTTGATCTGGAGGTATTTTTATTAACCACTTGCCTACCGGGCACTTATACCCCGTTCTTTACCAGGCCAATTTTCAGCTTTCAGCACTGTCGCACTTTGATTGACAATTGCGCGGTCATGCAAGATTGTACCCATATGAAATTTTATCCTTTTTTTCTAAAAAAAAAGGGCTTTCTTTTGGTGCCGCTGGGCACTTTACTTTTTGCGCTATAAACAAAAAAAGTGAAAAAAATGTGAAAAAAAAATGTTCTTTGTTTCTATTATAAAATTTTTCAAACAGGTAATTTTTCTCCTTTGCTGATGTGCGTTGATGAGCCAGCACTGATGGGCACTGATAGGCGGTACTTATGGGCACTGATAGGCAGCACTGATGGGCACTGATAGGCAGCACTGAAGGGCACTGATAGGCGGCACTGATATGCAGCACTAATGAGGTAGCACGGATAGGCGGCACTGATAGGCGGCACTCATTATGGGTACTGATAGACAGCACTGATAGGTGGCACTGACTGGCATCACTGCTGGGCACTGACTGGCGACACTGCTAGGCATTGACTGGCGCAACCGCTGGGCACTGACTGGTGGCACTGACTGGCAGCACTGCATTGATGGGCACTGGTGGGTGGCACTGGTGGGCACAGGTGGGTGGCACTGCTGGGCACAGGTGGGTGGCACTTCTGGAAACAGGTGGGTGGCACTGCTGGATGGCACTGCTGGGCACAGGTGGATGCACTGCTGGGCACAGGTGGGTGGAACTGGTGGGTGGTACTGCTGGGCACCGATCATCAGGGCACTGATCATCAGTGCCCTGATGATCGGTGCCGATCCCTGCTCTGACAGCGTGAGGAATGTGCAGCCCGAGAACCGGCAATTGCATTTCCCGGTGATCAGCGAGTCATTGGACACGACTGATCACGTGGTAAAAGGCCACTGTGATTGGCCTTTTACCACACCACGTGATCAGCGATCACGGAGATCACCCCCCCCCCCCCCCCCCGGAGCGCGCAGGAGAGCGCATTCTGGGAGGACGTCATATGACGCCCTCCCAGAACTGGCTGGCCGCAGTGTAGCCGTCATTCAGCTATCTGCAGTTGGCAGATTGTACCATTTTCATACTGGTGATTATCTATATACTTATGGTTAATGTTATTTGCTGGTTGTAGTAGTTCTTCTGCAGCCAATTACTTTGTTTAAATTACTGATTAATTTCCCAGGAAGAGAATCCCCTCTGTTTATAGAGGCCTGTCCTGAGTGGAGACACTGCCAACTTTATTATCACCCACTATCACCCACCCATATAAACCCACTCTTCCACCTAGTAAAGGTCCTGGTTCTCTTGTTTACCTATAGGTTTAGCACAATATCCTGTTGGGGGAGGGCCATTTCTTATAACCCCATTCCCCAAAAAAGAGGTCAATTACAATATAATAGACACATTATTTTTTGGAACTTTGTAAAATTAAATCAATATTAGCAAATCCAATGCTATTTTCTGCTAATCCCCAGTTTACAATGCATACATAAAATACATTCTTTTTTAGCTATGTAATTAGCTACTAGAATTTCAATATTAGAACTCAAAAATGATGCTTAATTAGTTGACAGAGTGTTCTACTTTCATCATTTTTGACAGATCAAAATTAGAGTAGGGTGTAAACAATTTACTGTATCAGTGATGGATGAATGGTTCATGAGACAGTGCAGCTAAAGTATACAGATATTAAACTCCTAACAGGTAAAAACAACAATGAATACATGTTGTTTGGGATGATGATGTGCATAGCCTAATAAGGTCCACAAATATATTACTGATTATGTAAGTATTCCTAATTTTTCTATAAAAGTGCTCAAACATATTAAGGTCAGGCCCTCCAAACTATGACATTGACTAGATCAACTTGTGTTCAACCAACCTGTTCATACATGCTGAACCGGCCGAATTCGATCCATGTATGGCCACCATTAGCCTGTGTGTTCCAGACATTCAACACCAAACCCACACTTACTTAGTGTTCATGGGACAAGGTACGTTTTGTGCATGGGCAGAATTCTTATTTTAAATTCAACATCAGTCAGTCAAACAAAAATACAAAGCTACCTGAGAGCATTCAAAACAAAAAATCTGAATCAAAATGATTTTCCAAAATAATTTTTATCTGTCCAAGTGATTATTTACCAGCCGTCGCAGGTATTTTTTTCTTTAAAATCTGCTTGTTTACGTAGTTCCTACAATCAAAAATGATGAATCAGATTTTGGATAAATTGTAAAAACTAATCACAAAATACATAGCTCTATCAGACATTCATTATCATTCTAATACTTCAATATATGAAATTGTCCAAAAAACTAACAATCAGCCTGTTTATGCCCGCTCTGAGAGGTTATTCAACAACCATGGTAACCAAAGTTTTAAAGTTTGAAACCATAATACTTTCAATAGAAGGTGAACCTGTGGGGGGTGACAGTAGAACAAATGAATGCAATCTTAAAAACACAAAAATAAATATTTATTATATTGCAGCTTACCAAATCTTTAATGAGGTGGCTGCAGTAGTTTTCTTTTTAGGCATTTTTCCTTTATTTTCATTTGGTGATCTGGCTAGTAATTCTCTTGTTTTTAATTTCCTTTAAGCTGTCTAGGAAAAGTGGCAGTTAGAGGGTTGGCACAAACCATTTAGCATAGACAAAGGTGCTTACAATGGAGACCTTTAAAGTGGAACTCGAGTTAAAAAAAAAAAAAAAAATGCAGGCTCTTGTGCAGAACATGTGCAGGCTCTTTATTGTCTCTTCGCAGAAGAAATGTGTGCAGTGTCTCTTCTGTAATAAAATATACTTACCTGCCTGTTCACAACTATGAGCTGCAGAAGAAATGTGCAGCATCTCTTCTGTAATAAAAATACTTACCTCTCTGTACTTGCAGAAGAAATGTGCCTCTCTGTAATAAAATATACTTACTGTTCACAACCCTGAGCTGCAGAAGAAATGTGCAGTGTCTCTTCTGTAATAAAATATACTTACCTGCCTGTTCACAACCCTGAGCTGCAGAAGAAATGTGCAGTGTCTCTTCTGTAATAAAATATACTTACCTGCCTGTTCACAACTATGAGCTGCAGAAGAAATGTGCAGCATCTCTTCTGTAATAAAATATACTTACCTCTCTGTACGCAACCCTGAGCTGCAGAACAAATGTGCAGTGTCTCTTCTGTAATAAAATATACTTACCTGTCTGTTCGCAACCCTGAGCTGCAGAAGAAATGTGCAGTGTCTCTTCTGTAATAAAATATACTTACCTGCCTGTTCACAACCCTGAGCTACAGGAGAAATGTGCAGTGTCTCTTCTGTAATAAAATAAACGTACCTCCCTGTTCGCAACCATGAGCTACAGAAGAAATGTGCAGTGTCTCTTCTGTATTAAAATAAACGTACCTGCCTGTTCACAACCCTGAGCTGTAGAAGAAATGTGCAGTGTCTGTTCTGTAATAAAATAAATGTTCCTGCCTGTTCACAACCCTGAGCTACAGAAGAAATATGCAGTGTCTCTATTATAATAAAATAAACTTACCTGCCTGTTCACAACCCTGAGCTGCACATGCACAGTCTCAATTTACATTCTCAGAACAGTACCAGTGTATCAGGATGAATGACTCCCAAGCATGTGCAGGGGTGAAGTCATTCTGCACCAGTCAAACAAGACTACTGAAGACCAATACCCAGAAGAAACCAAGGAGAAAGGGACTTTGCAGGTGTCAGACAGTTAGAACAGAGGTAACTATTTCTGAATTTAGTTCCGCTTTATTACATTTATGTAAAACCTTTACCCCAGAAGGAAAAAACTGTTGATGTAGCTGCTTAAAAAGTGTTAGTTTGACTATACAGGTCAAACTCGAAAAAATAGAATATCGTGCAAATGTTCATTTATTTCAGTAACGCAACTTAAAAGGTGAAGCTAATATATGAGATAGACTCATTCCATGCAAAGCAAGATAGTTCAAGCCGTGATTTGTCATAATTGTGATGATTATGGCTTACAGCTTATGAAAACCCCAAATCCACAATCACAGAAAATTAGAATATTACATGCAATCAATAATACAAAGATTGTACATAGAACAATATCGGACCTCTGAAAAATATAAGCATGCATATGTACTCAGTACTTGGTTTGGGCCCCTTTTGCAGCAATTACTACTGCCTCAATGCGGCGTGGCATGGAAGCTATCAGCCTGTGGCACTGCTGAGGTGTTATGGAAGACCAGGATGCTTCAATAGCGGCCTTCAGCTCTTCTGCATTGTTCGGTCTCATGTCTCTCATCTTTCTCTTGGCAATGCCCCATAGATTCTCTATGGGGTTCAGGTCAGGCGAGTTTGCTGGCCAATCAAGCACAGTAATCCCACGGTCATTGAACCAGGCTTTGGTGTTTTTCGCAGTGTGGGCAGGTGCCAAGTCCTGCTGGAAAATGAAGTCAGAATCCCTATAAAGCTCGTCTGCGGAAGGAAGCATGAAGTGCTTTGACCCTGGACTTAATGAAGCACAGTGGATCAACACCAGCAGATGACATGGCTCCCCAAGTCAACACAGACTGTGGAAACTTCACACTGGACTTCAAGCATCTTGCAGTGTGTGCCTCTCCATTCTTCCTCCATACTCTGGTCAGTTGCTCTCATCAGAAAAGAGTACTTTGGACCACTGAGCAACAAACCAGGTCTGTTTTTCTTTAGCCCAGGTAAGACGCTTCTGACGTTATTTGTAGAGATGAGCGAAGTATTCAAAAATTCGATTCGACTGATTCGGCGAATTCGTAGAAAAATTTCGATTCGAGTCGAATATATTCGCTGTGAATTTAACTTAAAAAAGGGTGTTTCTAGGCTTCAGAGAGACTTAATATTAGTGCTGAACACTGTACCTTTAATTTAAATGCCCTTGGAGTCTGCTGGGGAAGAGAAATAATACTGTCAGGCAGTATGACATGCAGATGAGTGCCGTCGATCTTAGAATCACCGCACACTTCACTCATTTGGCCAGTCACGGGGCCAAAACCAGAGTGTGGAGCCACAGTGTGGCGGTGGAGGCAGCAGCAATGGGAGGCCATACAGCACCCTATGACAAAAATGGAAACCACCAGCAGTGTGAGGAGACCTGAAAGTGGCACATGGCAGAGTGTGGCGATAGAGACAGCAGCAATGGGAGGCCGTACAGGGACCCATGACACACTCTGGACCTGGCAGCAGCATGAGGAGGCGGTACAGGGGCCCATGGCAGATTACGGGCCTGGCAGCAGCATGAGGAGTCGGTACGGGGGCCCATGGCAGATTACAGGCCTGGCAGCAGCAATGGGAGGCCGTACAGGGACCCATGACACAATCTGGACGTGGGCAGCAGCATGGGGAGGCGGTACAGGGGCCCATGACAGATTACGGGCCTGGCAGCAGCATTTGGAGTCGGTACGGGGGCCCATGACACACTCTGGACCTGGCAGCAGCATGAGGAGGCGGTACAGGGGCGCATGACAGATTACGAGCCTGGCAGCAGCAACTTGGACAGGAGGACGTTCAGTTTCTGCACCGTCTGGTGCGTGCTCGCAAACTGTTGTCTCTTGGAAACGGATTCCAAGAAAGACTGCTGACGGAATCCGTGAAGAGGAGTAGCAGGAGAAGGAGCATCTGAACGAGCGGAATATGCCAACAAGCGACAACAGGGGCCCATGGCAGATTAGGGGCCTGGCAGCAGCTATGGGAGGCCCGTAATCTGCCAGCACCCTATGACAAAAAATGGAACCCACCAGCAGTGTGAGGAGACCTGAAAGTGGCACATGGCAGAGTGTGGCGATGGAGACAGCAGCAATGGGAGGCCGTACAGGGACCCATGACACACTCTGGACCTGGCAGCAGCATGAGGAGGCGGTATATAGGGGCCTATGGCAGATTAGGGGCCTGGCAGCAGCTATGGGAGGCCCGTAATCTGCCAGCACCCCTATGTCAAAAAATTCTACACACCAGCAGTGTGAGGAGACCTGAA